GTAGCATTTTGTTGTTCCAATTATTACTTTAAATATCATGATAAATTATCGCTGAAAAACCTTGAAATAAAATTTTGCCGCTACGTAATTTTATGCAGCGCGGGTTTGTCAAAAAGGTGGGTAAATGATTATTTGGGCAGTGTCTTATTTTTCATGTCATAATTAAGAGGAATTTTCGGTTATTCTGAATCTAAAAATAAACCTGACGCAGAGCGTTATGTAGCTCGCTGCACAAGGCCCCGTACTCTCCCGCCAAACAACCTATTTCAGCTCATTCAGAGTGCAGGCGCGGTCTTGGCGTCTTCCCTTTTACAGTGCCGAAGCGGCTACGAGCGGGTAGATACACATGTAGAAAGCGCATACAAACGCTAGACGCTAGACCAAGCACTGTGAAAGGTACCGGCCGGCGGACCGAGGTAATGTCTACCCGCGCGGCGCTGTGAACGTAACGAGTGTCTTACGTACAATTGAGTTACATGCACCAGCGCCCGCATCCGCGCCCGCCGCCACTCTAAATAAGGCCGTAATAGCGTAACTAACTGTAACTAATACAGCCTTCGAAAATTTTCTACATTAATCGCTGCATTATTTATTAAATGCGACATTATTTTTTATGAGTGAAATAAGTAAGTGATCTATTATTATCGATACAAAGATCGAACAAAGACAAATAAATAAACAAAATAAGGCAAACACTTATAGTCCGAAACCCTGAGTCGCGGATATTATGGACACACACATAGACAACCACAAGTTACACCCAAACTGTCGAGAGAAATAAATGTAGGCCATACAGATATTTCTCCCGGCCCGGGAATCGAATCCGAGACTTTATGGTAGCAGTAGGGCTCCTTATGAAAGAATTCGTCAAGGGAAGTACTGCCATCTTACCTATTTATGCCGTCAAGCAGTAAAGTTAGCATTATTGCGTTCCGGTTTTCAAGGGTAAGGGAGTTGGTGAAATTACAGGCACATGGGACTTGTCAACTTAAATCTTATGGTGATAGTAGCAGTGCCCCTATGATCTTTGCGATTTAAAGCTCTGAGTGGCACAGCAACTGTTATGGATCAGTCACTTGGTATTTTAAAAAAAAGCAATTCAAGTATTTAAAAAATACTTTCGTAAGGTCGCACAAATTTTCAACCTCTCAGATAAAAGACCTTATAGGCACTTACTATAGCAAAACAATAATAATAGTGCTAAATTTAATTAAATTACATAGTTTAGTTTACCATAATTCTGATACTCGACAAAAAACAGTAACTAATGTATCATCTGCTACGGTAAGTTATTCCAATTAACGTCTTTGCATCTCAGGGTATTTCAACGCGAGTCTAGATTTTAGGATTTTATTTTATTAAATACCTAAACCAAATTGATCTAGCTAAACAGCTTTTCCTTCTTTTCCTCCGGTGACTTCTCTGTTTACAGCGATTGTATTTATTAAGTTCTGATTAGCTTCTGCAGAACAACGAAACTGAAAAGATAACAATCAGGTTTGTGTTGCTATCTTGTTAGTAGAGAAATTTAAATTTCGAAGTTAATTTACAATTTACAAATTTATAATAGTAAATATACACACATATACTTTTTCTTTTTATATATGTTACGCGATAACTCCGGTATTTGTGAACCGATTTTCATGATTCTTTTTTTGTTGGAAAGATATTATACCTCCATGGTGGTCCCATTTAATTTTGAAGAAAATCATCCACCTCTAAGGGTGGCTGTTCACGTATAAAGATTCATTTTTATAAATAGCGCCTAAGTTTTATTATAAGCAGCAATTATTTTAATGGTTGATTTTGCTATTTTCCAATTCAAGGCCTGTTTCTCTCAATATACTTTGAGTAGTGAGAACCGATTTTTATTATCTCCTATGTCAAGTCCCGTATAGTGGCGAACTAGAGGATGAATCCGGGCTTGAGTACTATCCGGTAACCGATTTCATTAAAACTTGGTAATTATATGTAATTCCACGTACGTACTAAAAAACCGACCTCAACGGTTTTTTGAGTACTCTGTACTGAGATTATGTTATCTACCAAATATAAATATGTGAAATATAGAAAGACATATAATAGGGGTTAAAGTATGAAATTGCCGATTTGTACTGAAA